GCAGGAATGCATTCAGGCCTTTGACGAGGAGCTGGCATTTTACGGCATCGTGCCGGACATTATCGGAGACTGCTGCATGGAAGAATACAGGGACCGCAAGAAAGAGAACCAGGAACGTTTGGCTGAGGACACAGAGGCCGAGAATGCGACGGATACTCCACTTCCGCCGCACAGCACATCTCGGGAACGTTTGTGGCGCGCCTTTGAAAACCCCCACACAAGCACCATGGCTCTCGTTTTCTACTACGTCACGGGTTTCTTCATCGCCGTCTCGGTAATAGCGAACGTGGTGGAAACCGTCCCCTGCCGACCCCCCAAAGGCAGCAAGAAAGACTTGCCATGCGGCGAGAAGTACACGCTGGCGTTTTTTTGCATGGACACGGCCTGCGTCCTCATCTTCACGTTCGAGTACCTCATGAGGCTTTTCGCCGCGCCCAGCCGCTGCAAGTTCATGCGCTCGGTCATGAGCGTCATCGACGTTGTTGCCATCATGCCCTACTACATCGGCCTGGTCATGCCTGAGAACGAGGACGTCAGCGGTGCGTTCGTCACGTTGAGGGTGTTCCGCGTCTTCCGGATCTTCAAGTTCTCGCGCCATTCTCAGGGCCTGCGGATCCTGGGTTATACTCTGAAGAGCTGCGCTTCTGAGTTGGGCTTCCTCCTGTTTTCCCTCACCATGGCCATCATAATATTTGCCACCGTCATGTTCTATGCCGAGAAAGGCACCAAGGGAACCAACTTCACCAGCATCCCAGCCTCCTTCTGGTACACCATAGTCACCATGACAACACTTGGGTAAGTCCATTCCCTTTTTATCTGCAGCTCGTGATGTTTTGAATATGCGACAGATTGGTTTTCTATATGCAGAGAGACTGCAGTGAAACTGGTTCCATGGTAGCATTTAAAAAGCTAAGGAAGGAGTAGATGAGGTCCATTAAGAACTTTCCAGAAAATTCTCATGTGATCCAAACCACTTACAGCTTCATTGCTCATTTATGATGATGACAGTGTTCTTATATAGAAGTTCAAATGAAACTTTTGCAGTGAAGAATGAGTTTGAATATGAACAGGGTTTTGTCGTAAAGTTATAGCTATTGTGTAAGCTATTGTTTTTTTAAGATTGATCAAATTGAACACTGATTTGCTTACCAGCATTAAGGTTTAGTATTGCAGTTAATTAAGATAATAATATTAATAATAATTATTAATTAATTTAATAATAAAAAACAGTTCTAAATAGTAAATAAAAAAATAAACACTAATTTATATTATTTAATTATTTTATATTATTAATATTATTATTTCTATGATTTTTTTTATTTAGAAAAAAAAATGCTCTAGTAACAGGTGAGTTATTTCCTTAAATTTAAGTAAGACACCTGCCTATATGTTAAAAAAATGCAAGGTTAGAGAAACTTAAATCACCTCCAGCTACAAAACCAGTATATGTGCCTTTGATTCCCTCATTTATACCCTGAAACCTCTTTTATAGTTCTCTGTAGTGAGTAATTTGCTCGTAAACTGAGCTGTGAATGCGTGATGCGCTGTTTCTGCACAATAGTCTTCAGCCACGTCTCTGGCCATTGGTTTGCTGTCAGGCTTTAGGAAAGCAGAAATGACAGAGTCCAGTTTTCTCTTGTTCACTGATACAGTTTAATTCCTCAGAGTGATAGATGAAGAGTGGAACGCTGTGTCACTGCGCTCCAGAGCAGAGGATGAGGAGGATAGATGAAGCATAGTCAACTTTTTGCTGAAACGTTTGGCTGTTTTGCAAAATATCTGGTAACACTTTATTTCGATAGTCCACTTTAGACATTCTATTAACAGTAAGTAACTTTGCAACTACGTGTCAACTAGCAGTTAGTAGAGTATTAGTAGACTGTCTGCTTAATATCTTCTAACACTTTCTTTGTCAACTTATTCTACTAACCCTAAACCTACCCTAACAGTCTACTCTGAGAGTTAGTAGACATGTAGTTGCAAATTAATGAGAATTAGTTGACATGTAGTTGACATGTAGTTACAAAGTTACTTCTAGTTAATAGAATGTCTAAAGTGGACTATCGAAATAAAGTGTAACCAAATATCTCAATATGGTTTCTTTTTTTCCATGTTGTTGTTGTTGGGTAGAAAACACCCACACAGATGCAATGAGAATAATTCAGATGTTGCACAGTATTGTGATGCAGATTATAGCACATGTAGGCTATGTTCCTAATGTCATAGTATCATACAGTACTACTATTTCATTAGTAGTACTCCATACTCCATTCATTAGGTTATAAATTCATAAAATACACTTCTATTGAAGCCATCAGTCAGTGTAACTTCAATTTAATGTAAATTTTGTATTTAAAAGTTTGAATTTAATTGCCAAATTCCAGGTGAAGACTTCTAATGTGCGACCTATATTCTATCTATGCATCATATAATACAAAAAAAATCTATTATGCTATATATATATATATATATATATATATGTGTGTATGTGTATATACTGTATATATGTATATGTATATGTATATAGCCAGTGACTAATATTAAAATGACTGAACTATCAAAATTATGTAATTTGCAGTACTTTATTTTCTTAATTTCTATCCTGGCTTTAAATCAAAGTTTGTAATGTTATGAGACACACCTTCAGATTGATTCATGACTTTTTATTCTTTATTAAAGAGTTTTTCAAAATGTATTGTAAAAATCCGTTGTTAGTCACACAACGGATTATTAGTCACAGTTGCACTTTGTATCATAGTGACTTGGGGGTTGTGGCCCAAACTCATATTTGTAATGTATATTGTTGCATACTGCATATGGTTTCACACACTATTTTTAGTTGCAGCCAGTAAACGTTAGATACTTTGCACTGCATTGTTGTAAATTTGGTGCAACTACATTTCTGTTGGTTTTGGGCAGTGGACGAATGATGATGGTCTGTAACAATAGTGAACAGGTTTAGATATCAGATTCACATTAGTGTTAATGACAATCTTCCCATGCATTATGCAAATGTAGGAAATAGCACCATATTAATCATAATATCTGAGCTTATCGTGCAAATGTCAGGAGCTGCATACTACCACTCTCAAGCAATACATCATCCTGTTTACATGATCATTGCGCACACATATATATTACCTGCTATCAGGTTTTCAGTAGTTTTTCATCCAATTATATGAACACTTCTTTGGTAAGACAGTGATAACCATATCTGAGCAGAGTTATTGCTATCTAGAAGTCTACATATTTTATATAAAATTGTGTGCATATTGAACTGTGTATAATATGATCGCTTCCACCTAAATGTATAATCTGTATTATATTATTAGATTTACCCACTTCATGAAGAGCAGCTCCCAAACAGATGGTTCTCATTAATGTTAGAGGTTCAGATGTTTGATCTACACTCTTAAAAATAAAGGTTCTTCACGATGCCATAGAAGAACCTTGCAAATTAATGAGAATTAGTTGACATGTAGTTGACATGTAGTTACAAAGTTACTTCTAGTTAATAGAATGTCTAAAGTGGACTATCGAAATAAAGTGTAACCAAATATCTCAATATGGTTTCTTTTTTTCCATGTTGTTGTTGTTGGGTAGAAAACACCCACACAGATGCAATGAGAATAATTCAGATGTTGCACAGTATTGTGATGCAGATTATAGCACATGTAGGCTATGTTCCTAATGTCATAGTATCATACAGTACTACTATTTCATTAGTAGTACTCCATACTCCATTCATTAGGTTATAAATTCATAAAATACACTTCTATTGAAGCCATCAGTCAGTGTAACTTCAATTTAATGTAAATTTTGTATTTAAAAGTTTGAATTTAATTGCCAAATTCCAGGTGAAGACTTCTAATGTGCGACCTATATTCTATCTATGCATCATATAATACAAAAAAAATCTATTATGCCAGATGTTTGATCTACACTCTTAAAAATAAAGGTTCTTCACGATGCCATAGAAGAACCTTTTTGTCTAAATGGTTCCATAAAGAACCTTTAATATCTGAGGAACCTTTCTGTTTCACAAAAGGTTCTTTGTGGCGAAAGAAGGTTCTTCAGATTACAAAAAGGTAAGAAAGAGATGGTTCTTTAAATAACCTTTGACTGAATGGTTCTTTGTGGAACCCAAAATGGTTCTTCTATGGCATCGCTTGAAGAACCTTTTGAAGCACCTTTATTTTTAAGAGTGTAGCAGTATCATGGTTTCAGTCTATCTGTATATATGCAGTGATGCAGACTATTACATCTCGAAGCCATCTATAATGTGCTTATTAGTAGTAATAATCACTGTTGCTATTGCTCATAGTTAGAGCTGATTTTAACAAATTATTTAACCTGTGTCACACATTTGTCATGTGTGATGGTTTCAATTGCATGATTTGTTTAAGAATGGTGTGGTATTGTGATTCAGTTTTACAATTTTTCTCCAAGCGAATGAGGTGAAGAGTTTATGTTTAGGCAAGTGCCACTCACTTTGTCTCTAAAAAGATAGACAGGCTTTGTCTGCCTGGAAGTTTCTAGTATGCCCATAATAAGACAGTTTTGCTTGAGAAAATTCTTTTTTCCGGAAAAGTTATTTTTTTTCTATTTCAATTGCATTTCCTTTTTTAAATTAACAAAACAAAACAAAAAACTTTTCACCCTCATGTTGTTCTAAAACTTTTTTTTTGTCAAATCACTGTGTTTGTTTGAATATGCGGAAATGCAAATGAGACTTGAGAGCTACAGCGGAAGGAAAGATTTGAAGCATGATGTAAAGCAAGTTTTTGTCTGGAGAATAAGTCTGTGACGCCATCCTGCAACTTTAAAACCTAATCAGTGACATTTCACCCTCAAACTAATTACTTTTACATAGACCCGGCTATGTGACCATTGTATAGTCTCCAAAGAAAATCCAATCTGGAAGCAGTCATGTTGGAACAGCAAAAGTAATGTTCAGTTTTCAAATTCAGTACTTTCTGTTTGCATTTATGTTAATATGCATGAAAAACAGAGTGACAAGAAGTATGGCATTATAAACCCTATAATCATATTTTCCAAATATAATCATGCACTTCTGTGGTTTGGAAATCCCGGGCAATGAAAAGGCAAATAACTCCATCAGGTTGCATGCTTAAGCCGTGTGCATGTTAATGAATGTCTGAATTCAATAAATTAATATATTTGTGGCTGTTCCTGAAGATGCAGCACAGAGATCACCTGATGCATTAATGTTTTATTCTGGGTTGGGTTGACTGGGCGTGTTCCCTCTGGAGAGAGCCGGATAAACACTCTGCTTTAGCCTTACTGTGCAGAAAGAAATGCATGTATGCAGATCAAAGGAGCAAGCAAAGACTCTTTAGAGACTCTCAGCGAGTGCAAGATTCGATTGGTCGGTCTGTGGCGGCAGCCGAGTGGAATTCACATTACCAGGACTTAATATCCAACTTTACGCTTCCTCTCCTTTGACCTTGACAGGGCAGCGTTTGGAGCAGGAGCTGCTGAATTAAGATGTCTGCTTCGTTCCATTTGGATACTGTGTTAAATGTTTAATGCACCCTCTAAGTTATTATTTAATACAACCTGGGAGAAAGCAGGATACAGTAGCCCAGTGTAAGACATTACAGAAGCTGCTCGTAAATGAGGTGATCTTGGCAGGAGTTACCTTGACTGCTTTGAGTTAAAAATGTGCAGAAGTGAAGAGGAAATGTCATTTGAATTGAGTTGGCAAACAGTTGCAATTTGAATTTGACACCAATTTGAGAAGTATAATTAGAATAAATTGAAATTCAAAAGAA